TTGAGTAATCAGAAAATGTGAAAAGTCCAGGTCTACATGAGTCAGGCAGTAATCAGATTTCTGCTTTGCAACCAGCCAATAAACTCACAGAAGAAGGTGTGATGTAAACGTAAAGTAAAACTTTTTTTTTGTCACACATAGCGCCTGAAAATATGAACATACATCATCTAGAAGATGATAGATATTGAAATCCTTCATTTCGTCAAGCATGTATTTGGTTTCAGCGTCACTCCAAAAGTGTTTTGCTGCCATCTTGCGGTAACGCTGCTTGCTTATTTCCGGTACCAGCGCCAGTTCTCGCACATGCGCAGACTGAGAGAAAGAAATCTGAGTAAGAGTTTACATTCACTGAGTAATTGGATTACTGAGCTGAAATCCGATTCTTTTCATCGGATTTCTTAATCAGATTTTTAGGCCTTACTCTGATCTGAAAAATTGTATGCTGTTTACTTGACCTTTTAAATAATCAGAAAACTGCAGAAATCCGATTATGATCGGATTATTAAATGCATGTAAATGCACTCAATGTCTCAGGCATCCGGCAGCGTATTCATAACCATTTCATGTTATAACTTTGTGTGAGGGAGCTTTTAGAGGCATTAAACTCTTCAGACGTCTGGTTCCTATCACCACCACTGTGAACAATTCTGACTCAGTAAGTTTCTCTAGAATGGAGGATTTCATCATCAAAGCATCAAATCACTCTGAATGATGCTGTTTATATCTTAACATTGTTCATTTTGCAGAAATTCTGTCAGTGGAGTTCTTCCGTTAATACAAGGTTAATCAATACAGAATAGTGCAAACCTACATTTTTTTAAAATAAATTAATTTACTAAACTCATTTCACATTCTCAAGCAGGAGGTTTAGCTTTGATCTGGCTAGCCTGCTTTAAATCCCTTGGGCCATATGTGATCACTCCAGTTCTGTGTAATGAAGAACTGATTTAATGATTTAATGTTATAGTTTGTCACACTTGCTGTTTGAATAGATGCATCAAGTGGTATCACTGTCCCCACATACAGCACTCATACCCACAAATCACCCCAATCTCCTACATGAGCAATTCTCTCAACCAGTGGCTTTCTTAAGTTCAGAGTGTGCTGAGATCGCGAGTAAAACGTTTCAGTGTGATGATGAAGAGGCTGCGTTGCAGCTGTGTGTGTGGTCGGCCCCAGCCAGCACATCAGATCTCCCTGGACAACAGCGGTCTCCTGGGCTCCTGAAAGAACGGCCGAGTCGCCTCCTAATTCATCAGTGTAGGGAGGCAAAACAATCGCTGGAGGTTTCAGAGTGAGAAATAGTGCAAAAGAGGTGGAGGAGCTCTGTGATCACTGCTGAAATTCCCTCAGCTTAGAAACAGCGCTGTAGTCTAGTCTGAAGTCATGAGTATCCTGTATAACTAAATGACTCAATCACGGTGAGCAAGACTAGCATAGCTAGAACAGGGCAATGTAACTAAAACACGTGTTTTTCATTGGTAAATTTAGTCTGTAATGTAAATTATGTTGCCCTGTGATGGACTGGTGACCTGTCCAGGGTGTATCCTGCCTTCCGCCCAGTGACCGCTGGGATAGGCTCCAGCTCCCCCTCGCAACTCAGAAGGATAAGCGGCTTTGAAAATGTGTTTGTGTGTGTTAATTATGTGAGGTACACTTCATTTCATTTTAAAATTTATTATGCTGCAAATAAGGGGGCAAATTAGTGATATGTTTAGTTTAAAAAGCTATAAAAATCTGGTTTTCATTCAAACTGTAGGTTGATCTATTTCTGCAGGCCAACTAGTGGCCATCTCACCAGCAGAATGGGAGTTGAATGGGATATTTTTAAATTTACATAATGCAATAAAATATTTTTCCTCATAGTTCTGTCCTCAGATTAACAAGGACACTGTGGGCTATCTGTTTGTTAAATATGGCTCTGTATTGAGCTGCTGGAGAGCAATGAGGGGTAAAATAAAATAAAATATAAGATGTGGCCTGTGCAAAAGTTATGCTGCATCTTATATTTTGCGCTTTATTTTTTTCCAACTTTATTTTATTCAAGTCTATTTTTTAAATTGAGCAAATACATAAAAAAATGTCCACTCAAATTTTCAGAAAAATACCTGTTTGTTCCCTGTAGGAGATGTGCTAACTTGTTTTCACAGTGAAAATCAAGGAAACATTATTTGTCCAGAGGTGTTCAAATTTTGGCATGGAACTGTATATACTGTGTAATCCTTGCAATCAGTTCTAATTGAAACTACTTCAATAATTAATTGAGAGTAAAAGGCAGAAACACAGTTTTGGGCTGAAACGCCTGAACAACATTTTCCAGGCTTAGAATACTTCTTGTATTTCCGAATACTTATTCTCATTACTAGAGTTATATATACATTACATAATTCAGCATAATGTTAAGTATGTTCGTTCATTTTAATCAAAACATTCCAGTTTTTGATATGTAGCACATAAATTTGCACATTTTTACATCCCTTTTTGCGATGGATGTCCCAAAAATGTTGTGAGACAGATGCAACATTTTGTCAGAAAAGAAGACAGATGAGTATGACTGGATTTTTGCTTGTCTACATAGCAGCGATGGTACAGAAGTCAAGATGTACATCTTTTAAAACCTTTGTTTAGTGATGTGTTTTCATAGTCAATTTAGCTGATTTACTGAGTGGATGGCCAAGTTCATACTCCACTGCTGTCTAAATTCAATTCCATTGTGAGTGAAATTACGTGATATGTGAATAAAAATGTCTAAAAATCAAGAAGACAGCTAGTAATTTCAGTATTTTATACTAAATATGTGTAGTGTGTATGTGTGTGTGTGTAATGGCTATTCATAACTAATCACTTAAAACGTTTAGCAAGACTGCTCTCTGTTTTTTTCCATTAACAATATGATGAATCATAAACATGCAAAGAAAGTCTACTGGAACAATTATGTTTGAGACACTTTTTAAATGTTTTGGGAACTGTTTTGAGGAATCTGAGAACATGCAGAGTATGTTAAAATAAAAATTAGTAAATAAATTAATCAACCCAAATAAAACAGCCAGAAAAATTTGTATGTAAATGCTCAAAAGGGAATTCCACCGATGAAAATTGTCAAAATCTGTCCCGCTATCTCAGCTACACAGCTGCTAACAGTCGAAACTATAGCCAAACAAATGCACATGAATTTGAAGTGCTTTTGCCATTTATTATCTTTCACTAACCTATAATACTTCAGTTCAAAGAAAAGAGAAGACTTTGTGAAACACTAGGGGGTGGTGGGGGGGATGTGTGGCAATGGTGCTGGAATACATGAGCATGCATACGGCTCAGCTGGCATTAAGAACGATATTGTGATGGGCTGGTTTTAGTGGGATAGGCTGCTAAGGATGGGCAAGCTTTCTGTCCAGTCCTATCACAGGCCACAGTTGTTCCTGTAAAGACTTCTCTATAGGGTCCTCAGCTGTAGCAGAAGATTGAGAGTGAGGCTGAAGTACGCCTGAGGGCTTGCGTGACGGACAGTCTGTGCGTGGCGTTGGTGGGTGCATATTGAATTGATCCTATGGGAGGGTCTTTTTTTTTCAGCTTTCTCCGCTGCAGTAGCACTGACAGATAAGCTCTCAGAGGCCTGCCATCACATACTGGCACTCTTCTCTAGTGTCCATTTGAAGATCATGAGGTCCATCATAATAACCCTTATAATACTTTTTTTTTCATTAACAATATAATGAATCAAACATGCAGGGAAAGCTGGTTATGCTGGCTAAACTATTGGAACTAAGTTTGAGATGGTGTTTTGGGACATAGCAAGTACTCTGAAAGAGCATGCTGAGAATGTTAAAAATGTATTAATTAATTAATTAACCCAAATGAAACAACCAGAAAGTCTTTCATATAAATGCATAATTCACAGAGTCAAAGTGTTTCTAAATGTGAAGTGGTGCATTGTAACTACTCTTCTTTACAGTGGTGGTGACAGGAACCAGGGTTGTCACGATGTCTACATTGCAAATATAGCCAATCTATTTACTAGCCTAAGTGACCAGTGAACATACACAAGTTTTTATATATAATGTTGATAATGGTAAAATAGTCGTAAACCTAAAATGACTAACTAAATAAATCAGGCAGCATATCTGTAAGCATTTCATGTACTATCTTTCTGTGTATTAGCAGTTAGAGGCATTAAACTGTTCAGACATCTGGTTCCTATCACCACCAATGTGAACCATTCTAACTCAAGCAAGTTTCTCTAAGAACAGTGCATTTCACACCAAACCCTGAAAAACAAGATATGACTTTGCGTGCATCTTAAATATTTCGATATGCAGAAATTTTGAAAAAAAAACTTTTTGAAAAAATGTTTGAATTTTCCATGGAATTTTCCTTTAACAGAATAGCTTAAAACAATTCCAAAATCAAATTTGCCAAATTTCTGGAATATAAACTGTACCTGGAATGTGTGGTAGCAGTCTATACCATGTAGGATAATAACATGCTAAATATTCAAGATTCAGATTGTTTATCTAAGAGCAAGCATTATTATATTATATTATTATAAGTTCATAAATTCATGCGTATTATCTACAATACTTCACTGCAAAGATGTAGCCTTTGTAGATTTGCCTGGCTGGTTGTCTTGTCTGATTAACATTTCTTTACTCTGAAAGCTAACCTGAATAACCTGATTCTAGTGACGTCTGTTTTACTGCACAGTCGAATGCAAACGTTTGAACCCTCCTGGTCAAATTATGTTTTGTTGATTTTCTACATGAAAACAAGTTAACATATCCTCTACAGAGGACACACATGCAATTTCCTTGTGCCCAATTTCTATTTATTTGAGATTAACCCTCTGTAGAGGATGTTAAGTACTTTTCACATACTAAATCAACCTAACATAATTTGACCAGGGTGCCCAGACTTTTGCATACCATGTATTGTGATGTATGTATTAAAGACTGTACGCATGTATCTCAGCATGTGTTAGAGATGTGGTGCTCTTGTTCCAGCAGGTCTCAGCTCACCGCCTGCAAACATCACGTCTTCGGCCGTCCCCAGCATCGTCACTCCAATCGTCAACGGCTTCACAGGCATCCCTCACCAGCCCAACGGTCATCCAGCAGTGGAGGCCGTCTACACCAATGGCATGCCGCCTTACTCCACCCAAAGCCCCACCGCCGCTGACACGCTCCAGCAAGCCTTCACTGGGGTGCAACAGTACACAGGTACCTCTGCGCTATAATTATAATAATAAAACTAATAATAATACTAATCTTGTATTTATATAGAGCTTAATGGTTGCTTTACAATAGCCAAGTCTTTGCATCATGAAAGGGTTCTTTAAACTGATGGACAGTGTGTTGTATATGGTTCTTTTTTGGTTCTATAAAGAAAAGGGTTCTGTATAGCACCAAAAAGGGTTCTGCTATTGTTAGAAGCTTGTATCATAACAAAAGCGGAACCGTTTTCGGTGCTTTTCAAAAAGGTTCTATATAGATCCATCTACAGCACATTCTCCATCAGTCTGAAGAACAATTACGCTGTGCAAGCATTTAAGCATAAAATGGTTCTATATAGAAATCATGGGTCTAAATAGAACCATTCCTTTTACTAAAGAACCTTTGAAGAACTCTTTTTTAAGAGTGTACCTTTTTAACCTTGTTAGTAATACAGCTTTTCGTTGCCATCATCATAACTTTTTTTAAATCAAT